ATATATAAACTTATTTTATATATAATTTTTTTTTTTTTATAATTTCATCGTATTCTCGTTGCGCGCATTTACTTTCTGATATTGACAAAGCGCACTTATCTCATACGTTTGTTCATAATTTCGACGTCATCGAGTTACTTGTTGTACGTTATATATACATGTACTCTCAATATGTAAAAGGTAATTCTACAATTCTCTAATGCTCATTACTATCAATATCATATGATTTTTTTTTTTAACGATTTCTGTACAACCATCAGCGACAAAGAGGCACAAAGTAAAAGTCGTATGGACTGATCAAAGTCAAAGACGATTGCAATTGTAAGTAAATGAAAAAAAAAAAAAAAAAATTCAAACATAAGTGTTTTGTAAATCTGTAGCAATAGGTCGATTGACACATCGTTTGTTACTATCCTTTTTCCTTTCTTCACTCAATGAAAGACGGAAAAACGGGTAGCGAGCACGAAAATTCACAATAAAAATTAGGTACCATTCTTTTTCTGATTACAAACAATTATCTGCAATCAGCACAGGTGATGTTGATTTTGAAAAAAAAGTAAAATAGAATTTTCGTACACAAACCGCGCCGACCGATCGAACTCTGCTGTCTGTTTTGTCTGAATGAACAACGAATGATATCACGTGATGGCATGAGTGTGTACGTGTATCATGAATTGTGTGAGCGTGTGTAAAGTGTGTATGACTTGTGCGTATAAGTATGTTGTTGTTGTTGTTGTTGTTGTTGTTGTTGTTGTTGTTGTTGTTGTTGTTGTTGTTGTCATAAAATTCTACTACAATGAGTGTGTATTCACGTATTCAAGTTTGGTATTCACGAACATCTATTCGTCAGGACGTCGCCAGATTGGTAAATGAGGTGGCCGTCATCGTCGTCCTCGACGGAGGGCGCTCGTGGGCTCTGTGTTATTCGGTCGCAATTCGCACACGCATTTCGCACACACCGCAATTTGCGGATGAAGAAGAATTGGCATTTTGATTACGACGAAGATACGAAGAAGACGGGGGGGCGCAGTAGAAGATGATGGTCGTGGTTGGTTGGTTGGTTGATTGGCCGAGGTTCGGTGTCCAGGTGGGCAGGCAGGCGTCCATCCATCCGTCCATCCACGTGGTCCAGATATTGCGTCGATGATTTCCAAGTTCACGCGTAATCGCGTATTCGCGGGCGCAGGGAGCAGACAACAGGAAAGAGGAGAAGAGACACAAGTAGCAGTAGACGATGACGACGACGAGAGATGCGCGTGTGCGTGCGTGCGTTAGATTCATTAACCACCATCATCATCATCATCATCACCACATTGATATTCATCATCACCATCATTGTCATCATTGTGTGCGTGAGTGTGACAGAGAGACAGACCCCCAATGAGCGGTGCCATTCCGTTCCGTAGCCATTTTCCATAATCAACGGAGTGATGGTAACCCAACAATCAGAGAGAAAGGGGAGAGGGCAAAATGGTTTGCCAAGTCAGACAAATTGTGCGACATGGTTTTTTTTTTTTTTTTTTTTTTTTTTTTTTTTTTTTTTTTTTTTTTTTTTTTTTTT